AATTTGGGGAATAAACTCCTTATTCAATATATGCTTTTCTTAAGGTTTAGGTGTGAAGTGTCTTCTGAAAGGGCCCTTATATCAAATATTTGTCCTTAGTATAAGCAGTTTTCAGAGTTGAGTCTTTGGGAATATGGCTGGCTCTGAAGACTCAGCTCTCATCAGTGGGTATCTTGATGAGTTCATCATGTGGTGCAATATTGTGATGTAGAGAAGTAGAGAAATGGGTCTACCTCAAAAATACTCTAGAAGGATGTATCTTCTCCCTTGCCCATTTTCTTCTCTAATTTTTGCTTGTAGAAATATGGAGCCAGTATGCCATTGACTGAAATCTGAGAAGACATAATTCTTTCCTCTTTTAAGTTGTGGTGCTCAGGTATTTTGTCACAGAAATGAAAACGAGGTATCCTCTTCAATTACATAGGTATATGGCTGTGATGGCTAGTTTTATGTTAACTTGATACAGGCTAAAGTCATGTGAGAGGAGGGAACCTCAGTTAAGGAATTGCCTTCATAAGGTCTAGTTGTAGGCAAACCTGTAAGGTGTTTTCTTAATTAGTGATTGATGGAGGAGGGCCAAGCCCACTGTGGGTGGTGCCATCCTGTAGGCAGAAGTTTCTCTCCTGCTTGCCTATTCCTGAATACCCAGCAGCTGCTTTCCAAATAAGTGACTTGGAGGCTGAATATTACTTGTAAATGATCAGCCAATAGCTCAGGCTTATTACTAACTAGCTCTTACACTTAAATTAACCCATACTTCTTATTTATGTTTAGCCACGTGGCTTGGTACCTTTTCTCAGAGCAACATTCTCATCTTGCTTCCTCTGTGTCTATCTGGTGACTCCTGACTACCCTTCCTCCTCCCAGAATTCTCCTAGTCTGGTCATTCCACCTATACTTCCTGCCTGCCTACTGGCCAATTAACATTTTGTTAAACCAATTCGAGTGACAAATCTTTATAGTGTACAAGAGCATTAACCCACAGCACCATCCCTCAGCTGGTGGTCTTGGATTATATAGAAGAGCAGGTTGAGCAAGCCAGTAGGCAACACCCCTCCATGATCTCTGCATCAGCTCCTGCCTCCAGTTTCCTGCCCTGTTTGCGTTCTTGCTCTGGCTTCTTTCAATGATGTACTACAAGGAAGAAGTGTGAGCAAAATAAACCCTTTATCACTCAACTTGCTTTTTGGTCATGGTGTTTCATCAAAGCAATAGAAACCCCAATTAAGTCAATGGTCTGAGATCAGCACTTAGTCTCTCCTTTTTGCACGTGGGTATATAATTTTTGAAACTAATCGGTGAATGGAATTTCATTTTCAATTGCTTGCTTCTTTGTTGTGCTTCTTCAATACTAGTAGACTGTGTATGCTTAGGCTCATTTCTGAACTCTTATGTTTCTGATGTTTAAAAAAATTACATGGTTATTTTTATTTCAGTATGATGCCGTTTGACTATGGTAGCATCTGACACACTTTGAAATCAGGAAAGTTGTGAAATGTGATGGTTCCAAATTTGTTAGCCTTCTGGGTCCTTTGTGGTTCCAATGTAAATTTTAGGTTGTTTTGCTATTTCAATAGGGTATTGAACTGGGGTTTTGACACTGATTGCCTTGCCTTGTACATTACTTCATGTAGTGTGGAAATTTTAACTGTATTAATTATCTGTTTTGGGGATATGGATATCATTTTATTTATATGGATTTTATTTAATATGCTTTGTGAATTTCTTGAAAAAATTATTTTGTATACTAATGCATAATGAATTTATTTGTTTAATTGTTTTGGTTTTGTTCCTGTTTGGAATAATTGTGCCTTTCCTCATCAATTTGGACTTGCTACCTTTTGAACATGAAATGACTCTTCAGGCTCATGTCTTTGAGGCTTACTCCTTAATCGCTATCCTTATTTGGGGGAGTGGTGAACATTTATGTGATAGATCCTAGCTGGATGAAATAGTTACTGAGAGTAGCTCTGAAAGGCACATACTATCTTAGTACATCTCAGCATCATTCTTTTTCCTGGCTGCCAACAATTAACATTTTTTTCTCCACTGTTTCCTTCTGCTATGATACTCTGCTTCACTAGATCGAAACTAGCAGAGCCAGCTAAGCACCGGCTACCCTTTGGAGACATGCGCCTAAACAAGTCTTTCCTCCTTTAAATTGTCTGCTCAAGTGTTTTGTCGCTGTGCCAATACTCTTTCTTTTCTAATTTCTCTGGCTTGATCTTCCAGAACTATATTCAAATGAAATAGTAAAAGCAAGCTTCTTCCCTTATTCCAGACTTTACAAGTGGAAGGTTTTTAAGTTTCAGACAGAGGTTAAGTTAATTGTGTTACCTGGAAATATGGCCTTTATAATTTTGCAATAGGTTCCTTATTACCTTTTTGTTGAACTTTCAAATTATGAACATATGTTTAATTTCATCATGTGCTTTATCAGTGTCTATATACATAATCGGGATTTTCCCATTAATTTAATTACTACATTTCATCACATTGATTGAGTAGTATAAGTCACATAGGGCTTGCTTCCTGGATACAAATGTCATATAATCATGTTGAGCATCCTTTGACATGTATTGCTCAGTGTAGATTGGTGTTATTTTATTGAATATACTTTTATCTGTGTTCATCAAAATTGTTAAGCAATAGATTTATCTTCTTGTAGTGCGTTTACCTGGTTTTGGTGCCAAGGTGAGGGTGGCCTCTTACAATTAATTTGGAAGTTGCAATAGCATGTCTTTTGGGTTTGCCATAATAAAGTGAGTTGTGATATATAGTAATAGTGGAAATATGTGGGTGGCCAGATAAACTATGCTGCTAAATATGCCCACTTGTCTGCTTAAAAATATTTATTAGATTATAGAGAACACAGATAACCACTTTAAAGAGGACATTGACTTAAGAAAGCAATCAAATGGCTTAATACAATATCAGTGATTGTCCTCTACTTTCCTCTCTCTTTGTATTTTCATAACATAAAAGCTATCCAAGTATGATGGCACACACCTGTATTCCCAGCTTTTGGGGGGAGGAAGCAGGAGAGTCAGTACAAAGTTACCTTCAGCTACATAAGTTCAAGGCCAGCATAGGCTACATGAGATTCTCCCTGTCTTTGAAATATTAACTAACATCTCTACACGTAGGTGAGAAAGCCTATCTCATCTTGCTAGTGTCCAAAGTGCATGATATCTAGATCACTAGCCTTAGTAATTCTTTCACTGTCTACTAATTTGGAATTGCCTGTTTGTCTATTTGTCTCTACTTTATCTAAATTTGTCATTCACTTATGAAAGGTAGCTCTTTATTCCTTCAGTAACTTTCCTAAGAGGTGAGTAACTTTTTCTATCTATTATTTTTAGAAGAGTTTAAAAGTTGTCTTAGTGAGCTTTGTCTACTTGACAAAGACTAAGTTCATCTGAGTGGAAAACCTAAATTGAAGAATGGCCTATATCCAAATAGATTGTGCGGATTATCTTAATTGTTAATTGATGCAGGAGGGCCTAAACCAATTTGGACACAAACATCTTTTTGTAGGTGGTCCTGAGATGTATAGGAAAGACAGTTAAGTAGAAACCTATGGAGAATGAACCAGAGTCAGGAAACAATGTTCCTCCATGTTTTCTGCTTCAGGCTCCAGTATGAGTTCCTGCCCTGACTCCTGTCAATGATTAGCAGTGATGTGGAAAAGTAAAACGAAATATAATCACCCCTCCCAAGTTTCATTTGGTCAGTGCTTTAACACAGCAACAGAGACCAAATAACTCTGTGAGGGCAGGAAGCAGAGGGGTAGTCCTTTACTTATTAATCTGTTTGAATTTTGTATATCCCCAAGATTCCATTTTAGCTAGTTTCTTGGAAATCTTTCATTTCCTCTAAGTTATACAATTTATTAGCATAAATTGCCCATGGTAGTTTTTCACAATATCGTGTATTTGGTTGTATCAGTTTGAATGTTTCATATTGGATTTCTGATTTTATTTGAGTTTTCTTTCTTCTCAGTCTAGAAAAAAATGTTTCTTGATTTTGTTTAACTCTTTAAGGAAGCAACTCTTAGTTTTAAATCATTTTTATTGCTTTATTTTTCCTCAATTTTATGTATATCTGGTATAGCTGTCATAATTAGCTACTTTCCAGCATTAGGCTCATTTTGTTCATACTGTAGGTGTATATGTGTACTATTTAATTAAATTATTTCTTCTTTTTTACTTGGTTCTATAAGCTGCCCTTTTAGAACTGCTTTTGTGGTGTGTCTCAGTTATTAATGTGTTGAGTATTGTTGTAATTTGGGTTACAATAAAGTCTAAATTTCCTCAGTGCTATTGAAGTCAGGTACTTCTTTACTGGTTTTCTGTATTGTTCTATGCAGTGTTGCATGTATACTGAGTCCCTTGTGACTATTTTTTGGGTTTGTTAATATTTTCTCAATATATTTAAGAATTTTGATGTGTGAAAATATGTGTATAATCTTTCATTTGACTTAACTCTTTATTGTTCATGTACTGTTCATGACCTGACCATGTTCTCTAGAGATATTTTCAGAGTTGAAATCTAATTTTTATCATAACCACCTATGCTTTATTTTATCATTTTCATAAAATATCATGTCCATCTTATGGCATCTTATCTTAAGCCTGTGTGTCTTTAAAACCTATAATGAGTCTAATATGTAGCATACAATTACATATTATTTTATTCATTCAGGTCTCCTAAGATGAGGTTTGGAAACATAAGCAGTCATTGCTTCCTTTACTTTATGGTTCTTTCTTTCATCATCTCACACACTATATATACTGAGTTGTTTTGCTGTGTCCTGTGTATATTACAATTAATTTCCACACTCTCTTTCTAATTTTTTTCCTCTGGATAATTTCAAATTAGCTGTTTATGTTCACAGATACTTTCCTCATGAATCTAGTAGTGAAACTCTCTGTTTAGTTCATAATATTTGTTAAGCTGGATGGTTGCATGTAGAAGGGTGAAAATAGGTCCATACTTACCACTCTGCACAAACACACAGCTCCAAATTGATGAAAGACCTCAGCATAACACCAGATTCACCACAACTGATAGAAGAAAACAATCTTAAACTCATTGGCAAAGGAAAAGACTTTCTCATAGAACACCAATAGCACAGACAATAAGAACAACAACTAATAAATTGGACCTCGTGAAACTGCAAAGCCTCTCTATGGCAAAGGGCATCATTGTGGCAGGCTATAGAAGTGGGGATAATTTTAACAACTGCACATCCAGTAGAGGGCTAATATAAAAATATTTGAACAAAAAACTAGACATCAAGAAAACAAATAACACAATTACCATAGGGTACAGATCTAAACAGAGACTTTCCAAAAGAGGCAACTCAAATGGCTTAGAAGCACTTAAAGAAATGTTCAGCATCCTTAGTCATCAAATAAATGCAAGTCAAAATTACATTGCAGTTTCATCTTACACCAGTCAGAATAGCCAAGATCAATTATACAAATGACAGTCCGTTCTGTCAAGGATGTGGGTTAAGGGGAACAGTCATTCCTTGCTGCTGGGAGTACAATCTTGTACAGCCACTATGGAAACCAGAGTAGTAGTTCTTCATGACTATGAGAATTAATTTACCTCAAGATCCAGCCATACAACTCTTGAGCATATACCTAAAGGATGCTTCATCCCACCACAGAGACACTTGCTCAACCAAGTTCATTTTTGATCTATTCATAATAACCAGAAAATAGAAACAACCTAGATGACCCTCAACAGATGAATTTATAAAGAAAATGTGGTACATTTGCACAATGAAATATTATTCAACCATTAAAAAATGAAATCATGAAATTCACAGGTAAGTGGAAGGAGCTAGAAATGACAAATATGGTATGTATTCACTTATATGTGGATATTGGCATTAAGTGTTCAATAAACAAGAGAAAATCTATATAACCACAGACGTTAGGTATAGAGTAAGGGAATGGGGGTGGCTCCATCTAGGAAGAAAATACAGAATAGATAGTTATCAATGGACAACTGCAGTAGGGATAAGAACAAGAGGATTAAATGGAGATGGGGAGGGAAGAGAAGGCAAGAGAAGGGATGCATGGAGGGGCAGCTACAAATAAGGGCCACTGGAGGGCTTCCCAAAATACATACATGTGTAAAAGTGATCTCAATGAAATTAAAAAATAAGGGATAAGACCATTCCAACTGGACATCTCTTGTCACCAAATGTAGCTTCCAATGACAAGGAACATGTTACATCTAATTAAGTTGTTGGCCAAAGTGTACCCATTGGAACCCCCAAATAACTCAGACTATTGCCAAGGCTACAGTATTGTTCCCTACAAACTGATAGTAAGGCACTATTGCTGAAGACAACACCTACACAACTCATTGAAAATGGAGAAGTCAGGCTGGTGCCTACCTGGAGCCTTCACCCCTGCCGACTAGTGTTCATGTTACTGGAAGGTACTCTGCACACTACCCAAGGAGAATGTCACCAGTACAGCTAGAAACTCTTCAATCAACAACAGTTACCTGCCTGCAAGAAGCACTAGTGTGATAGTGGCATAGAGCTTGTGGGAGTAACCAATCAACATCTGATTGGATTTAAGGTCCAATCCAGGAGGTGTCGCTCATGCCTGACAATGCTCAGGGGGCCAAGAACCTGAAACTAGATAGGTCAGGGGCATAGGGGAAGTGCTAGAGAGGCCCACAGAAATCCACAAAGATACCCCCACAACAGATTGCTGGCAATGGTCGAGATACAGCCCGAACTGACCTACTCTGGTGATGGGATGGCCAAACACCCTAATTGTCGTGGTAGAAACCCCATCCAACTATTGAGGTATCTGGATGCAGAGATCCATGGCTAGGCCAGGGGTAGATCTCTGGGAGTCCAATTAGTGAGAATGAGGAGGGTTTATATGAGCGAGAATTGTTGAGACCAAGGTTGGATAAAGCACAGGGACAAATAGCCAAACAAATGGAAACACATGAACTATGAACCAATGGCTGAGGGCCCCCCAACTGGATCAGGCCCTCTGAATGGGTGAGACAGTTGATTGGCTTGATCTGTTTGGGAGGCATCCAGGCAGTGGGACCAGGTCCTGTGCTCATTGTATGAATTGGTTGTTTGAAACCTGGGGCCTATGCAGGATTGCTTGGCTTGGCCTAGGAGGAGGGGACTGGACCTGCCTGGACTGAGTCTACCAGGTTGATCTCAGTCCTCAGGGGAGGCTTTGCCCTGGAGGAGGTGGGAATGGGAGGTGGGCTGGGGGGAAGGTGAGGGGGGCCATAGGGGGGAGAACAAGGGAATCTGTGGCTGATATGTAGAACTGAATTGTATTGCAAAATAAAAATACAAATTAAAAAAAATCAATACAAAAGTTCAATAAAAAAAAGAACCCCCCCAAAAAAACCCAATAATACTGTTATGTTTAAGGAATGTGGCCATAAAATGACTCCTAATGACATTTGGCTACACTCATATATTAGTGCCTTGCTCAGTCATCAACAGAAAAGCTGTCTCCTGAAGACAGCTTCCAGGCCAGATGAGGGATGGTAGACCATTGCCCATTCCCCGGATATCTCTCTCATAGAACAGGGCAGGAGTGGGGCCACTCCCTGTTCAAATTAGGACTGGGTTCACTCAGTTCCAGAGAGACAAAGGACATGTCATGTTAGTGTCAGTTAAGCTTCTGTCTCCCCATCAGGAAACGGACTCCTCAGAAATCATGTGACTAGTAGTCTGCCAACTGATACACCTGCAAAGTGTCTACCTCTGCTCCTCCCTGGACTTCCTCCCACATGCATCTGTGTGTGAATTCATGGCTTATTAATGTTTGCCTGCCCTCAATCTGTCTACATATGCAAATCAGGTGTATTCCCTTGTTCTTTTGCCCTCCCTGACAACTGGAGCTTTATAAGCTAGTCTGTTACTTCAATAAATGAACCATCCTCTGACATAGTCTCCTGGGTTGTTGCCGCTAGTCGTGCTCACCAACAACAAATACAGAGACCCACAACTGGACAATATTCAGAGAGTGAAAGATCTTGAAGAGTCCTAAATAGTATGTCTCCATCAAATCTCTCCCTTTGGGGTTCACAGAACCCAGCAGAGTGGATTCAGAAAGACCGTAAGGGCCAGATAGGATGGAAGACACCAAGGCAGCAAGGCCTTCTAATGACAGCAGGACTGATGCACATATAAACCCATAGAGACTGTGGCAGTATGCACAAGGCCTGCAGGCCTCTTCCAGATAGTGTCCCAGTGCTAATAGGAGACACGGACAGAAGCTCCCATCCTTAACCTAGAAGCTATCACTAATTGATAGTTCCTTCCAATGGAGTTTCACTCTTAAAGGCAAGCCCCATGTCCAGCAATGGATGGCTACCACAAAACAAACTCAGTGGCATCTTTGAATGTTCTTTGTCTCATAAGAGGTTATCAGGGCCCTTTTCTGTTTTAAACTTGCAGGTTCTTTGCGTGTGTATCATGTCCTCCAGTTGTGTGTGTTTGTGGTGTTCCTGTCTGTGTAAACCTATGTCTCTGCATCTATGTGTGCTTCTTGAGATTTCCATCCCCCACCTTTGGCTGATTATCTTCTGTTTGCTTGTTTGTTATTTCATATTCCAGTACATTAAAAAAAAAGTATCTTATTTTACTGTTATTCCTTAGATGCCTGTTTATTTTCTAAGAAGAGACAGAAAGTATGTGGATTAAGGTTTGGGGGAAATGGGGAGGATCTCAGAGGAGTTGGGAGAAAGGAAACCTCAGAATATACTGTATGAAAAAAATCTATTTTCAATAAAAAAGTAATAGGGGAAAAAAGAAAGAAAAAATTCAATAAAAAGTCTAAAAATTAAGAATTGCTTTCTGTTTCTAAAGGGCTTCTCCCTCCTTTTTGAGACATTCATTTTATTCATGTGTTGTTTTCTTGATTTATTGAGTTTTCTATCTAAGGTCTCAGTTGACTGACCTTTATAGTAATTAATTTCAATTGTTTTTAAAACAATTCATGTTTCCATGCCACTTGGGTCAATTATTGGAAAATAGTACTCCTTTGGTGGTTTCATGTTTTCTCGTTTTGTGCAGTTCATAGATTTGTCTAGATAAGTAAATATTTGGAAGTTTACCTTTTTCATCTATACCTTACAACCAACTGGCTTCAGTGGAAGAAACCTCTCCCCCAATGCTACTGTCAAGTTTAAGCACTTGACTTTGTAGTTGGTAGAGGCCTGAGGGTGGGAAGTGGAAGAGACTGGCCTTCAGCATGAGCATTGTAAATATGTAGCACAGTCATCAGAAGTCTGTCTTGATAAAAAGCCAGTGGTCATTGTTAAAGGACAAAGAAAGTGCCTGTGGGAGGAACAAGGGGCACTAGACTCCTAGCTCAAGCAGTAATAGTCTCCCTAGTATCCTTTACCATAATAAGGCATGGTGCGGGTCAAGGGACCTCCCTCTGTACTACCTGTGGACATCCAGAATATCAGTTCCACGGGGCAGGCGTAAGTGGACCAACCTCATCTCTGATACCTAGAGTTCAGAGCCAGCAACCATGGAATGGCTATTATTTGTGGCTTTGTGTCTAGATAGGGGTGAGGGCACAGTAGCGTGGTCATCAAGCAGCTCCATCATCTTCAGTTACTGTTAGTAAAAACTGGAAAGTGTGAGCGCCTAATCCATAATTGATGGTGCAGTGGAACATTGCTGATCTTCAGTTTCTCCAGGTAAACCACATAGCTCCCTCTTGAAGCCACACTTTGCTGAACTCAACAGAGTGACACACAGATAGAGTGCTGCTTCCATTACATTTTGTAATGATATCTCCATTCTTTATTTTCATGCTATCTAGGGTTTTTTTGTACCTTGTTTTTGTTTTGAAGCTCTCCAAAAATTCCTTTAATTGGTAAGTTAGGCTACTTCTCTCTCTCTCTCTCTTTCTCTCTCTCTCTCTCTCTCTCTCTCTCTCTCTCTCTCTCTCTCTCTCTCTGTGTGTGTGTGTGTGTTGGGCATGTATGAAGATGATTAATGAGACCTTACAGCTCTTCTTAATTTTTCTTTTTCAATCTT